AGTTATTAAAATGATAGTACACGTAAGGTCGTGGTCAGTAAAGGCTGACAGTTCAACAAGTCAAGGCACATAAACCAGACCGAATAATAAGCTCAGGAAAATTCTACACAGTATGTTCAACGAGGCATCTTTCAACCTGTTTTATTGTTGTGAGCAGGATAAATATGAACTAGGTGATTGTGTACTTACCTGTATTTGTTACTGACTGTATACCCTATGGACTCCAGTATTAGGGATATAGAAATTAATAAATTTTTATATTAGTTCAAAAGATATTGATAACTCTAGTGAAGTTGTTGGGGTTTTGGGGCCGTGTTTTTTTAAGAGATTTTTGTCAGGCTCTGATTTTCTAAATAGTCACGTCACAACATGGTATATCATATATGTACTCAACTAAATACGAAACTAGGAAAAAGTTTTCTCAAGTGAGGAACTGAACTACAACCTGTCATCAGGAACTTTTTGACAAAAGTCAAATACATGGCAACTGAAAAGTATTCTGTCTATAAATCTTCACATTCCTCTTTCTGCACCTTAAGTGTGTCATGATAGCCATAATATCCACCAAGTAAAGATTGTTTTGTGTACTTAGAAGATATGGAACATTTCAGAAAAGTTTTCCTAAAAATCATGGTTTGACACTTAAAACATTAACGTATAGCATCCCCCTTAGGGTTCTGCAGGCGTATTGCTGGAAACAGTAATATATGCTGTTTTCTCTGCTGCATAAGCTTATCAAAAACAATGGGAGTGATTTCATTGTTTCCTGTCTCTATCACTTCTGTGTTACCTGACACAAATGTGCAATGAATGCTTGATTAACGAGTTAATAAGTAAATGAAAGGTGGTCGCAGTAGATGTGGCAAAGGAGGCGATTGTTCACGTTCCTGTTTCCCATGTGCGGGAGGAGATTGTTCACTTTCCTGATTCCCATGTGCGTCAATTAAATTTTCCAAAAGTGGTGTTTTCCGTGTGACAAGTCAGTTACAAGAACAAGCTCCCTACGTGTGTTGTACTCCCCAAAATGTAAAACAGTATTTTTAAGTGTCAGCCACAGAATTAAATGGTAATATTTTTTGTCCTGATTTTTTAAAAATAAGTTTTGGAGCTTACTAAGATGATCATTGCTGTTAAATATTGTTTCTGTCAGTTACTGAGCTGGCAGTGCACAGATTTACAGTAATTAAAAAACCCTAATAAACAAGTGTAACTATAATTTTGTAGTTTTTAAATCACTTTTCTTTTTTCTTGTATCAGCCCAGGAGAATCAGTGCAGTTTCTGTGGCAGAACGAGTTGCCTATGAGAGAGGAGAAGAGCCTGGAAAAAGCTGTGGCTATAGTGTTCGGTTTGAGTCTGTACTTCCCCGCCCTCATGCCAGCATAATGTTTTGTACTGTAGGTCTGTGATGTGTTTTGGTTTTTCATTTGGGGTTTATGTTGTGATGTTTGCAAAGAAAACTTGGCAACAGTACAGAATGGCTGGAAATAATGAGCCAGTCTTAGAATGACTTTTTAAGTAGAACTTTTGGCAGCTTTTTTTTCTTCATGGAGAGTATAATATACTTGCTGGTTTTTATAGCTTACAGAAAATGAAATCATGAAATTAGTAA